CTGGGCGTCTGTGCGTTGTGCGTCTGTGCGTCTGTGGTTCTGTGCGTGTGCGCGTGTGCGCGTCGTGTGCGCGCGTTGCGTGTGAGTGTGCGTGTGTGCGGGTGTGCGTGAGTGTGGGCGTGTGCGTCTGTGCGTGTGCGTGTGCGTGTGCGCTCGCTGGGCGTGTGGCGTGTGCTAGTGAGCGCCGGGCTTTGAACAATTTTGCGCGTTGTGCGTGTGCGTGTGCGTGTGCGTGTGCGTGTGCGTGTGGGTGTGCGTGTGGGTGTGCGTGTGGGTGTGCGTGTGGGTGTGGGTGTGGGTGTGGGTGTGGGTGTGGGTGTGAGTGTGTGTGTGTGTGTGTGGGTGTGTGTGGGTGTGTGTGTGTGTCTGTGTGTGTGTCTGTGTGTGTGTGTCTGTGTGTGTGTGTCTGTGTGTGTGTCTGTGTGTGTGTGTGTCTGTGTGTGGCTGTGTGCGTGTTTGCGCATGTGTGCGTGTGCGTGTGCGTGTGCTCGCGTGTGCTCGCGAGCGTGTTCGCGTGTGCGTGTGCGTGCGCGTGCACATGTGCGTGTGCCTGCGCAAGTGCGTGCGCCTGCGCGTGTGCGTGTGCAGGTGCGTGTGCGCTTGCGTTTGCGTGTGCGGTCGCGTGTGCCTGCGCACGTGCGTGCGCGTGTGCATGTTCGTGCGCTTGCGCGTGCGCCCGTGCGTGTGCGCGCGTGTGCGTGTGTGTGCGCGCGTGTGCGTGTGCCTTTTTGCGTGCGCAGGCGCGCGCGCGCGTGTGCGTGCGCGTGTGCGTGTGCGTGCGCACGTGCGTACATACGCACGTGTGCGTGTGCGTGTGTACGTGCGCGCACGTATTCGTGCGCGTGTGCGTGCGCGTGTGCGTGCGCGTGTGTGCGCGCGTGCGTGCGGGTCTGCGTGTGCGTGTGGGTCTGCGTGTGCGTGTGCGTGTGCGTGTGCATGGGTGTCTGTGTGTGAATGTCTGTGTGAATGTCTGTGTGTGTCTGTGCGTGTGTCTGTGTGTGTGTGTCTGTGCGTGTCTGTGTGTGTGTGTCTGTGTGTGTGTCTGTGTGTCTGTGTGTGTGTCTTTGTGTGTCTGTGTGCGTCTGTGTGTGTGTGTCTGTGTCTCTGTGTCTCTGTGTGTCTGTGTGTCTGTGCGTCTGTGGGCCTGTGTCTGTGTGCCTGTGCCTGTGTGTCTGTGTGTCTGTGTGTCTGTCTGTCTGTCTGTCTGTGTGCCTGTCTGTATGTGTGTGTGCGTGCCTGTCTGTGTGTGTGTGTGGCTGCGTGTGTGGGTGGGTGCTCTGTGTGTCTGTGTGTCTGTGTGTCTGTGTGTCTGTGTGTCTGTGCGTCTGTGTGTCTGTGTGTCTCTGTGTGTCTGTGTGTCTGTGAAACATGCAGGCGTTGGGATGGCGCAGCGGTCAACGCGCCTGACACGAAGGAACGCGATCGCAAGCACGCCCTATAGTCCGGCTTCTCTTGAGCACTCTTGAAGAGCGCGCCTAAAACCCCACACGCCAAGCTTGCGCGGAGACGCGGTTCCTTGCCCCAGAAGCCACTGGCGGCCAAAGCCTGCACGCGCGGCGGGGGCTTGCGTGGTCTGAGGCGCGGAGCGGCTTCGCGTAGCTTTTGGCTATCAGGTGTGATGGTTTGTGCGCTCCAAAGCCTTTGACTCTAGATGGTGTTGGAGACTGATAGGGGGCGCTTCCCCCAAGGTCAAGGATTCGTGGAAGGAATGGAGCTGCCCAGTTACCAACCAGACCATCATTATGGCTTTGTTTCGTTTTTGAGGGACTCTACGTCCGGAGCGCAGCAACCGCCAGCGATAGCGGCTGGCGCGGTGCACCAGCTGTGCCGCTGGGGCTCGGCTGTGTTGTTTGGCGATAAAATTTAGCAGTTAAGCGGCTGGAATTTCCCACATTTAACACTAAGCCACATAAAGCAAAATGTAAAATGTTTCCAACAACAACCAGCGCCCCCATTCGCATGGATCTCTCGGAGATTCAATATCATGCACCACCGGTAGAAAAGGGACGACGTGCGCCACCAAGCTACAACGAACATGGGTAGGGGCCTTATGCATGGTTCTCCAACATCTTACATACTTTGTGGATGAACAAACTCTTGCACCAATTGAATGAAACCCCATGATGGTATGAATCACCTACCAACCTTCCTGCAAACATGAGGCTCAAGCCTCGCAATGCGTCCTTTGCCCGCAGGGGTGCGAGTTCAAATCGCAGTCGGCCACGTAGTCTGTGTGTCTGTGTGTCTGTGTGTCTGTGTGTCTGTGTGTCTGTGTGTCTGTGTGTCTGTGTGTCTGTGTGTCTGTGTGTCTGTGTGTCTGTGTGTCTGTGTGTCTGTGTGTCTGTGTGTCTGTGTGTCTGTGTGTCTGTGTGTCTGTGTGTCTGTGTGTCTGTGTGTCTGTGTGTCTGTGTGTCTGTGTGTCTGTGTGTCTGTGTGTCTGTGTGTCTGTGTGTCTGTGTGTCTGTGTGTTGTGTGTCTGTGTGTCTGTGTGTCTGTGTGTCTGTGTGTCTGTGTGTCTGTGTGTCTGTGTGTCTGTGTGTCTGTGTGTCTGTGTGTCTGTGTGTCTGTGTGTCTGTGTGTCTGCGCGTGCGATTGACCACCAAAAGCAAACCAAGCAACGGGAAAGTTGTGTGGGACTCAAAACTGCCAACCTCAAACGACCACCCATAAGACTCTGCTACGCGTACAAAACTTCTGCTCCTCTAAAAAGAAGCACAAATGAATGCGCACCACATAGGAGAAGAGCAAGACACGCCGGCAAAACCCACAACACACGCTGCGCTCGCAAGTCTGAACCCCTTCCCGATATTGGATTCTGCGAAGCCAGGAATTAAACACACTTGCTTGCATGCCCTTTGTGAAACAAGGCCCTTGCCTTCACGTGGCTCTTGGCTTCCTCGATGCTCTTGGCTTTTTCGTCTCCGTTGGTCTTGCACCAGCACTGCATCTTCTCGTAAGTGTCCTCACTGAGGCATGGAGCAGCACAGACGACGGCTAAAAAGCAAGTAGTGAATTATCGTGGAGCTGTAGAGGTTAAACCCAGAGTCTGAATATTTATTGCCAATATTATGTAAATCGATAGGTGAGGTTGTAATAAGACCCTGAGTCTCTACATCTCTTTCTCTGTGTCTCCGTATCGCTGTTATTCTCAACAATAAAGTATTTGCCGAAAAACTCAGGAAACTGGACATGAGAATGATAAAGCGATAGAAATTAAAAGGGAAAATGATGAAGAAAAAACACTGTGACCCAAAAGCTTTTCTCTAAACCACGCCGTGGGCTTCCTCTCTCTCTCACCATGTCCGTTTTAGTCTTACGGTCACCCTCTCGTACTGAGGGCCCCTCCACAAGCCTCCAGCGAGAATTCACGTCATTGCGGGGCTCAACTGTGAAGGAAAAACAGCGCAGTCGAAATCAAACAGAAAACAACATTTTTGGCTTCCCTTGCATCTTCCTGCGCAGTACCGCGCATAAATGTGTGACACTGGCAGATAAACGCACTACGGCCGAAAGGCAGGACCCAGGCCCCTTCATACAGAGATCAACCCGATGCACTGAAGTACCATGATCCAACCTGGAGCAGAACCAGCATACGTTGCACATAATTGAACCACTTGCCTCGAAGCGCTTGAATAAGCCATGGCAGCAACGTGTCCAGCACCACGTGTACTCAATGGACGCACAAATCCAAGCACGTTCTCGTAGATTGCCAGAAAGAGCCATGGCAAGACTAGCACGCTTCCATCCTCCCGTGTCAAAGAACACCACTACCACGGATATCACTGGAACATCAAGAAAGAAAACCACACCTTCATGCATGAGCAGTGAAGGCACCACGACACAGAAATGTCCAACACTGACGTCACTGCTGCGCACCTGCGTTGCCAGCCACCTCTCGCCTATAAAAGCCTAATGGGCGTCACGCCAAAATGCAACCTCTTCACTGTAGCTTTGTGGTAGCGCCAGGATGCCAAGAATGCCACTGACTGAAACATTGACAAAGTCATAGGCAACATAAGAACCAGCAAGCCAAGGCCCACGTACAAGCGAAGTCAAGCCCACAATGCAGACCTTCATAACCACCCGAACCGTCACCTCCCATTGCGCAATGTCCGCCAGGGACAAGTAGTTCCCCATCACATCATCAATGCATAGTCGACCATGGCACCCGAAATCGGTCGAAACGGCACTACCAACTGGAAGGTTCCCGGGCACTACAAGTACGAACAGTAAACAACAAGAAACTCTGCAGGTCCTCATCTTCCTTCGCCTCTTCTGCCAAGGAGGTCTGCATCTCCTGCCGTCAGCAACCACCCCGTGGCCAATCCGCTCGACCGACTTTCAATTGGACCAGCATTGTTGTTTATGTGTTGCCTGTTTTTGGGGATACTTTATCAAGCTGTTTATCAGGATCCCATTCTAAGCAGGTTGGTACTCATTCCAAGTGTGCACGTATATACATATATATATATATATACACATATACACTCTGGCCTTCAGCAAGTTCACCACTTTGGTCACTGGCCTGGCGAATCCACACGCATGGCACGCTCAAGAAGCTTGGGCCAAGACCATTCATCTGGGAAGGAGAGCTGAGTCTTCAAGAAGCAAACTCGCATATTGCTTTACTCTTTGATTCTCACGAATGATGAAGCTAACTCATACAAATCACTCACGAGAATGATGAAGCAAACTGCAAACGATTCACATTCGCTCAAATTACTCAAATAATGCTCTGAACATGTGCTGAAGCAATCCTTGACCAGCAATTGAATCGGATTGGGGTGCATGTGAAGCAACTAGCTTCGAAAATCACCGGTTTGCAAAAGGCTGCCTTCACTTGAATGCTTGTTTGCCACGGCCACCCTCTCAAATGCCGAAAGTTCCCACCTCTTCTCGGCATCAGTGGCCTAAGTGGCTTCACACTGGAAGAAAGCAACTGTGGGGCGTCTTCTGTTGGCGAAGCAAGTTTGGTCAGATCCTGCACCTGCCATGCTCTGAGAGCAAAAGCACCTGAGAGCCAGGCGGAAACATGGGCGACGGCCCACAACAGGAGTGCCTGCCCCATGTCTAATCGAACAGCTGCTGACCCGATGTTTTTCTGACATGGAGCCGCAGGCGAAGATTGCCTAAAGTCAATGCGTTGAGCGGAGGCTACACAACGTGCCTCAGTTTCCGGGAACGAAAAGCTGCAAAAACACCAATTTGCTTCTGAAGGTCCTGCCGCTAGCTGACTGTTCAAGGAACGACATATCCAACAAAAAAAATGTTTCCCGGGCACGCGAGCGACAAATGCGGCCTGGTATTTGTTGCAAACCAACTTCAAAAGGAGTATCCATTATCTTTTCAAGGATGGTCTTCAGCACTTGGTTCAAAAAGTGGTTAATCCTCCTGCTAAAAAGGTGCCATAAACATGAGACTTCAAGTGAAATTGCCCGAAGCTCCGTGAATTTTGGACACGATTGACACTCAGCAAACACAGACCTGCTTGCACTGGGGAACCTGTTTTGTGCGCCGCACCTTGACCATGGCCATGGCGCTACAATACTTCCTAAAGGAAGGCGGAAGCACGGCTGCGACCAGATTGAGCCAAAACCATCCGGATCACCTCTTGGTGAAAACTCCATGCTCAATGCTGCAAACCAAGTGTTTTGTTGTTAAGACATTTTGCCTTCGCAAATTGAGCCGTTCGTAGCCCTTAAAACAAATAGCGCTATTGGCAATTCCATTTTTGAGAGTCTAAAGTTGCATTTGAACCTGCATGTTTTTTGTTCAAAACGCACACACACAATCTGTATTTCGAGCAGGTCGTCCACTCGGAACAGACATTAGCAACATTGCGCGAGCCCAATGCTTGCTGAAATTGGTGGTAATCTCTGGGCCTATCTGTCCATCCTTTCTTCGCCCAATGCTTTATTATGCCGCAGGTAATCGCCGCGAACATGTTGGATCACAATGTCAAAATGAACCCTTGGCTGCTCAGGACGAGACCATGCGAGTTCCTCACCTTCCTGCAGCTCTAGCACAGCATCGCCTTTGCCGTTGTGAAGCTAGCATCATCCTCATTTTTCCTCGTCCTTTCTTGTCACGGTGCCGCTATCAATGACATTCCCTGCGTTAACCTTTGTCTCGCCAGAACCCAAAAGCATGGTTTTTCATGAGGTTTCTCGTCGCCCGCCGGGTTTCTCAATGAGGGAGAGCGATGCGCAATATGTCCCTCCGCAATAGAGCCTGCCCTACTACATTGGGGTAGCTTGTTTGTCAGCATGATGAGCTGACCAATTGAAGGATTTCTCTTTCAAATAAGTTTTCATTCATTTATACAGGCAAGAACTACCCACAACGGCAAAGGCAAGACACATTTTCCTCGTGTCGTTTCATTGACAAGCCACAAGCTGTGCTTGCGGTAAAGCCAGTCGGCGGAAGCTTCAAAAAAACTCAAAAGGTATTTGTTTTCTTTTCTGGACTTGTTGTTTGTCAAAAGCATTTTCTTTGTTTGGTTTTATGCTTCCCCTTCTTGTTGTTTGTTTCATATTTGCTCTCTCTCTCTCTCTCTTTCTCCCTGTTTTTTGTTTTTTGTTCCTTTCCTCCTCCCTTCTTTTCTTTCTTGTCTACGTTACTTCCTTCTTTTTCCTGTACTTTTTTATATATTCCTTTCTTTCTTTCATTTCTTTTCCTTCCTTCCTTCCTTCCTTCCTGCCTGCCTGCCTGCCTTCCTTCCTTCCTTCCTTCTTTCTTTCTTTCTTTCTTTCTTTCTTTCTTTCTTTCCTTCTTTTTCTCTTTCTCTCTTTCTCTCTTTCTCTCTTTCTCTCTTTCTCTCTTTCTCTCTTTCTCTCTTTCTCTCTTTCTCTCTTTCTCTCTTTCTCTCTTTCTCTCTTTCTCTCTTTCTCTTTTTTCCCGAAAGCACGGCGAAGGGTTCTTCCGCTGGGTTCACTTGAGTTGTTCTCATGAGAGTATCATGAAAGTCATTGCAAGGTGTCATTGCAAGGCATCATCATCATGAAAGTCATTGCAGGGATCCTTGCACTTGCAACTTGCACTTGACTCCTTGCACTTGCAACTTGCACTTGGCTCCATGCACTTGCAAGTTGCACTTGACTCCATGCACTTGCGACTTGCACTTGCAACTTGTACTTGACTCCGTGCACTTGCAACTTGCACTTGACTCCATGCACTTTGGCTCCTTGCAACTTGCAATGACTCTCATGACTCCTTGCAATGACTCCTTGTGTCAAGAGACGGCAAGGTGACGTCCCGTGGGACGCTATGCACCGAACCCTCAAGCTGTAATACCAACCACGTAGAAAGGTGTATACGGACGATGCCGTTATAGCCGAACCCGTGTAAACGTTGTAAGGGAGAAGGAATGATAGTTACAACAGTGGTCCTGACAAATGCAGCGCAAGCAAAGAGTTTTCGCTCTCAATGCCGATCACGTATGTATGCAGTCACACATCAGATCTTGAACCTCAATTGTGTCTTGAGCCAAATGGCGATCAATGGAACTTGGGAAGCAACACCAACAAGGACCTCAGAACAGCTACCCAATTTCGGCACGGGGCCTAGAGGGTTTTAACATCCCCCATTTGGGTCGCATTGTTCATCATGCGGTCCAAACACCACAAAACGTTCCACTGGCCACGGCTTCAACTACGAAATCGTGTCGTGCATTCTTTTACTTGCTATCACTACACCGTTCATTCGCTGTGAAACATGCCGGGTTCGATTGTACGAAAAGTGAAACATTCATCCATCAATCGAAGCACACTTCCATATGCAGGTGTATACAATACACAATCGTCACGTCATTTGACCACCAACGAACAATCCAGCTGCCGCATTTGCGCATCGCGCAGCTGTCATCCATAAATGGGTTGGCCACAAAAGTCCGTCAGAGGCGCCTGCTCGTAAGCGGTCTGCATATCTCCGGCAAAGAAACATCGGTGAGTAATCAATGCAAATCATAGTCATTCCAGATACCATGGACAATGCATAAATAATGAAAAGATATCATCTATAAGGTAATAGTTCCATCCACGAATATCCAGAGTGTCGTAGTCATCGGAATATGTAACCATGTACACATCCAGTCATCTTGGACACATGAATGTAAATCATGACATAAAGTCGTTCCACCGCAATAGTGTCGATGTGACGCAAGTAACAGATGGGGACTGACCCACATCGTACCGCAATCATCATCTTCACGAAGCATACCTGTCCCCAATGGACAGCCTATGGGTACGTCGACGGAACTCCTCGTCCAAGTTCTTCTGGGCTTCTCGTGCCCGGACACACTTCTTGTTGCGATCCTCTGGCAACCAGTGCCCTGCCCGAAGGCACCAATCCAGCAGGGGTGTGTCGCACTTGTTCGGGTCGATGGCCGAGATGATGGCGCTCACGTTGACCGTGTAACCATTCTTGCCAAGGTTCAGGCCATCCCTCACGAATGATATATACTTACAGTTGAAAGCCAGTGCAAAGCATCTGAAAATAATATCACCCACCGGGTGCACTCGGTCCTTGACCAGGAGCTTCATTTCTTCCTTGGTGACATCGAGGATTCTCGCTGCAATCCACATCTTGTAGAATGTGTAAAGTCCCTCGCATTTGCACACCATCATACAAATATAATCTTCACGCTCCTCAACCGATCGGAAGGATCTTGTCCGGACATTCTCTGATTGAGAAATTTTCTTCGCTGTTGATGGCAAGAGTATACCTTCCTGATCTTGATCGGTGATGTTGGGGTACCTCTTGAAGTCATTGTGGTAAGGGCAGCCCGGCCTCCCTTCGAGTCCGGCATTCATCGTTCTCTCCTCACCACCTTCAAACATCCCCCACATCTTGGACATCTGGAGTGCGATAAATCCTGCCATGTACTGAGCCTCACGCGGCTCGTCAAGGCAGATCGCCATCCGTTGGGAATTTATAATGTCCCGTGACGCCAGATCAGTGTCGCGGTAATGCCAACCGCTGTCTTCTTCTTCTGACGCATAGCCGGATGTATATCCTTGCGTGTCCATATCGTCATCTTCGCCAGCACGGCAGCATGGCGAGCTCTGTGCGGCCGGCGGACACCGAGCTTGCCGCAATGCCAAAGCAGCTTGGCCTCAGCGCCGAGGCCAAAGCCGCCAAAGCCTGGCCACCTCCGCCCTGTCCAGTTACTTGCGAGCGCCACTCAGTGGGCATGTGCCCGCTGCTGACCAGCTGCTGCACAAAGTCCGGCGCTCAAAGCAATCTGCGCGCGGCCCTCTGTTACCCGCAAGGCGCTGCTGGCAAACACCTTGCGAAATTCACCCACGCTGCGGCTAACAGCATCAGGCGGCATCACTCCGCTTTGGATGAAGGGCTCTGCGACGGAGAAAGCTCCGCTTTCTTGGCCAAGGCTGTGCTGGGCAGGCTCCGCCAGAGCTCGGATCTGAAACCCGCTCTTCTGCCAAAGCTCAGAGTTGCTGTCCAGCACGAGGCTTTGGGAGGGCAGCCTTTGGCGCGACACTTTGGCTTTAGCGCTCGGGTCTGGGCCAGGCCCACTCTTCTCGCGTCCCTGCTGCTGCTGCGCGTTCTTCGCGGCTTTGGCTGCTTTATCTTCTTCTTTCTTTTTGGCGGCCTCTTGCCGCTTCTTTGCCGCAACCAGATCGCCTTTGGCGGCTTTCACCGCTGCGCAGAGGGTCTGAACGCTCTTCTTCTGCCTGCCGCCGGCCTCGTTGAGGTCTTTGATTGCCTTGTTACTGCCGCAGGTGCGAAACTCTGCGCTCATCTGCTTCAAAGCCTGAACGCTCCTCAACTCCTTGTAGTCCTTGCAGGGGCCCACCCGGGTCAACGCGCCCGCGTCTTGTGAGTTTGTCTTGCTTTCGTCCAGGGCTTTGTGCTCTTCAGCGATCTGCTCGTCCATGACTTTGCTCAAGCAGTCGTCTCCCTGCAAGACAGCGTCCAACCAACGGGCGCGCCGGTCTAAGACCGCCATCTCCTCTTGAAACGCGGCGCTGCCCGCCCCAAGGCTTCGGAACTCCGACATCACCCCAGCGCAGTCATTCCGCAGGTCCACCAGGCTTTTCTCAAAACTCTCCACGCCGGCCAGCCAGGCTCTCTCAGCTTTGCGGCACTTTGTTTCCGCGTCGAACCACTTGTCTTCTTCCTGGGCATCGGCGTCGTCCTTTCTCGCGGCGTTATCAGACTCCGCGTCGCTGCTGCCTGACTCCTCGTCCTCCCGGTCGTCGCCGTTCTTCCTTTTGCTGCTGCTGAGGCGGCGTCGCTTCTTTGCGGCCTCCGCCGCCTGCGCCAAGTTTGGCGCCACCGCTTCTTCCGTGTCCAAGCCAGCTGCGCGGGCCTGGCTTCGCAGCTTCTCCAGGTCAAGCCCATTGACTTTGTTGGCTTCTTCGTTGGCGCTGCCGCTGATCACCATGCGGGCGCGGTCCTGAACGGTGCTCTCCGCTGCTTTGCGGCTCAGCCGCTCCGACTGCTCCAGCTCCCTGTTGTCGCTGAGGTCGGTGTAGCCGCTCAAAACTGTGCGGGTAGGAACCGCTAGGCGGAGGTACCCGCGGGGTCCGTCGTTGTCCCTGACCACACTCTTAT